ACACAGGACAAAATAAAAACAAACCACTGGAGACACACAAAGTGGAGGCGAGAGGGTCTGTTTCCTAAATGGCGAGGCCAGACGCTGAGAAAGACAGATAAAGGAGCCCTGGGAAGGAACTGAACCCTCACCCGCCATGTCATCCTTGAAACATTTACCCAAGCTGCCCCCGCTGAAAGCTGAGGTCTGGGCACCTCCTCCTCCTGCTCTGCACTTGTCACCCTTGGATCCTGGACTGGGGACCCCAGCCTCAGGCTCTGCTCAGGGTTTCTGTTTTCACTCCTCTTACTAAAAAGGACACACTCGCTTGGTGAAGAGGCGTGAAAACCCTAAGATGGTGGAGAGAGCTTTGAACTTGGGACTGACTGGTGCACCTGGGTCCAAGTCCTGGTCACTTTAGCAAAGCCAGTTAAATCTTGAGTTCGTCTATGTTGTCATCCATGAGATAGATATAACGCTGCCTTCTTCATAGACGGGAACCCTGGTGGTGTCGCTGGCTGCGATTTGCATGGTCGGCCGTTCAACACCACCGGCAGCTCTGTGGGAGAAAGACCGGGTTCTTACTCCACAGTAACAGTCTCAGCAGGTCGCCTATGAGTCAGGTCCCCTATGAGTCAGCGTCAATCTGATGGCAGTGAGCTTGGTCTGGTTTGGTTCTCATAGGGCGGCTGGCTGAGACACATGGGAACACGGTGAGGTACTCCTTGCAGCCCCGTATCTGTGCACACAGATTTCCAGGTGGCAGGAAGTTACACGCAGGTGTATAAGTCAGCGAGGCTGAGACTCTGGGGTGCGCAGGTCCCCAAGGACCCCAGGCCTACGTGGGAGGGGAACCTGTGGAGTGGGGCGGGGGTGTCTTAGCTGTGAGGAGGATCAGGAGGAGCAAGCAGGGGCTCGATTCTGTCGACATGGTTTAGTGTGGTTCTTTCACATTTTATAGACACTCATTTTTCAGATTGTTGTTTACAAATCTCTTGTAACCCTCACACAAGCCTGGGAGGTGGGCTGTTGGGGGAGGGCGGTTGGTGTGGGGGAGACTGGGAGGCCTGGGCCCAGGCCTGGTCCTTGAGGGTGGGGGGAGGGCCTGGAGAAAGCCAGTAAGCAGTGGGTTTGGCAGGAGAGGGGGTGACATCTGTGGGGAGCCCTGGGGACCCAGCCAGGCGAGTGGCAGCAGCGGCTGGCAGGGAGAGCAGACAGCGTTAACCCTTGCCGTGCCACGTGGTCTGACCCTGCGGAGGAGTAGCCCTAGGCTGGGGGAGTTCTTCTGTAAGCCTCGGAAGGGGCTGGGGGTCAGCGGAGTGGGGCAGGCCGGAGGAGCCCCGGGTGGACGCTGACTGGGAAGTGGCATCAGGCCTCTTCCCATCTTGCATCCTGGGGCTTCTCTGTCTGGTTCCACATGGCCTGTGTCAGTCTGTCCGGCTCTGTTTCTGCAGCTCTCCGTCTGCCTCCCTCTGCGCCTCTACAAGGGGACAGCGGGTCTCCACTAGGACTCACTGCACAATCTGGCATTCGCTCTGCTCCCAGCCTGGCTGGAAGCCCCCTTCTCCTGCCTCTGGCCCCGAGGCCTGCTGCTTTTGTCTCCTCGGGCAGGGCCTTCTCTTTCCACTCACCGCTCCTCAGCTCAGAGCCCATCTTCAATCTCATTATGGCCGCCGACCACTGTGCCCCTCAGCCTCCTCTCCCCTCCCCCTCGCCCATCCATCTGTCTTCCCTCAGCTCTTCTCTTTGTGTCCGTCCATCTGTCACCACCAGGCTGGGCCCACTCCCCTCCTGGCCATGCCTGCCGGGTCTTTCTCCAACCTTCAGCCCCCAAGGCTCATTCCCGCGGGCCCGGCCTCCTCTTCCTCCTGCAGCCCCACTAGGATTCCCTACTTGCTCCGTTTCTCTGGACTGCTTTCTTTCTTTGACACCCTCTTCTTGTCTTTTCTTCTTCTTCTTTCTTCCCCAGTTCCTCCGACTCTTTCTGAGCTGAGTGTGGGGGCAGAGATGAGGGACTCTAGGGTCCGAGCCCCCAGCCCCCGAGCCCCCAAGCGGCGAGGCTGGTAACTCTTACAGAGAGTTGCATCATCTCCAACAAATGGCTTCTGTTCTCAGCTTGCCCTGCAGGGTGGGGACCGGGGCTGGTGGAACCCCTCTCCACGGCAGGCCGGGCAGAGCAGTGCCTCTGACCTGTCTGGATTCAGGAAGAAAACTCCAACTGCCCACCCAAGGCCCGTTTTGACCCTGGCCTTCCAAGGGTCACTGTCTCTCGCAAGCTCAACGTCAGCTACCCTGTCAAGCTTTCTTTGCAGGTCAGCTGCTGAGGAATAGGGCCTTGTTTCTATCATCCACAGCAGTTTCTCCAAATCCCTACTGGCCCCTGAGAAGACAAGGGCTTCCCTCTCTAGGCGGGACTCCAGTGCTCCCTTAGAAAGCTCATGAGAGACCCTCGGCTGCCTGAACCCTTCAAGAGGATCAGCTGTGACCCCAGCTCTCTCCACTGGGCAGACTGCTGTGGCCAGGAGGGAACTTGGAGAGCATCCCTGGTCTCACTTAACCGAGGAGAACCCTGGGACCCAGAGAGGGAGACTGCCCTTTCAAGGTCCCCTGGAACACTTAGTGACAGACCAGAAAATCTGCACTGCAGCGCTTCCCACACGGAGAATCTCCTGCCCGAGCAGACCTGGAACTCCAGAGCCTTCAGCAGTGGGTCCTCACGGAGCATATGCTGCCTAGCCTGCTCATAGATAGCTTTTCTCACATCCCATCGTGCCATTAAGTCTCCAGATCCTGTCTCAAAGGACAGGGGCCATATCTCATACCCTTTTATGAAGCTGGGATAGAGTACCATGCCCATCGGCTCTGCTGTGGCTGCCAGTGCAGAGAGTCCTCGTCCGTCCCAGCACTGTCTCTAATTGGTGGTGTGACTTTGGGCAAGTCGTGTCACCTCCCTCCTGGGCCACCATTTCCCCCATCTACCACACAGTGCATGTGCACAATTTTGCCATCTTATACTACGTGCCCCCTTGAAGAAATAAAGCCCCATTGAACAAGGTGGCAGCTCAGTACAGGGCACCAGGTTGATGACAGTATCGCCTCCCTGGAGGTGACTTTGGGGGAGGTAACCTAGATGTAGGAGACAGAAGACCGCAAACCCCTTTAGCCAAAGCAGCCAGAGGAGAGACACCAACTGGCAGGCAAGTCTTTGGTGCTGGTCTTGAGAGACGAAGTGTCAGCAATAGTGACAGCAGGGTCCTGGGATGATGGGGGTGCTCAGTAAGTAACTCAACTCTCCAGTGTAGGAGGCTGAGAAGGTGCCGTGTAAGCATGCAATGGACAGGGGATTGGGAGGGACAGACATGAGGGAGGAAGGGCGTGGAAAACGAGATTTCAGAAGGCAGTTTCATAGGGTTGAGGACCAGGCAGGGAGACGGATGAAGGCGAAGGAGTGAAAAAGCCTGCACCCTTTAAGATGCTGCCCCCCAGTCACAAGGAGGTACCTGGGTAGGAGCCAGATCTACGGCCTCCGAAAGGGAGAAGGGCAACCGGAGGGTGCTTGGGAGCCCCAATGGGTTGAGCACCCCCATCATCCCAGGACCCTGCTGTCACTATTGCTGACACTTCGTCTCTCAAGACCAGCACCAAAGACTTGCCTGCCAGCTGGTGTCTCTCCTCTGGCTGCTTTGGCTAAAGGGGTTTGCGGTCTTCTGTCTCCTACATCTAGGTTACCTCCCCCAAAGTCACCTCCAGGGAGGCGATACTGTCTGTGGTTCCTTCCAGGTGGGCAGCCCTCTCCAAGACCCATAGAAAAAGAAACCAGTATTGGTTGTGTTTTGGGGGGTGGGGAATGGAATGACGGGGATCGAGACTCGTGTTTGGAAGCCTGCCCTGGGCTGAGACCAGTGTATTGTAGCTCACCCATTTTGTTCTTCTATCCATCCACACCCCCATCCTTTGGATTCTCCCAGCCCTCTCTGCACCCCTGCTCAGCCCCCTCACTGATACCCAGCCACTCCTCGGCTTCCTGAGGCTGCCAGCGGGAAGAGGGAGCTTACTACTCTGTCCACTGGGAGACCTGTTGGCCGAGGGAGGCGTGGAGCACGCCCAGATGATGGTGGCAGCTGTGCACAGCTCCCGCCAGCACCGGGCACAGCTTCTTCAGCTCGGGGCTCGGAGGGCTGGGGTGGGAGATGCGGCAGGGTCGACACCCATATCCTCCAGAACCCCAAACATGCCCACTAGGGGTACTGGAGGGGAAACCTGGAGGAACTCCCATCGCCTCTGCCTAGTCAGACTTGAAAGGAAGTGCTCCGGGTTCCTGCGCTCATGCTGCCGCTGACCCTGGGGCTGTCTCTGGGACCTCGGCGAGGGGAGATGGTTGGGCATAGCTTCTACTCTCAGGGCAGCATTTCTGCTCCTCAGGTGATGGCCCACAGGCCATCTGCAGACTCACGGACTGACACATGACCCTCTACTGAGCAGAGTTCTTTCTTAAACACTCCAGAACCACTGGGGTAGTGCTCTTCCAAGAGCCGCTCCTCTACAGAAAGCCCAAACTCCTTGGCATGTCACCAGCGAGTTTACAATCTGGCCCCGGGAGGGAGGGATCCTTGTGGCCCCCGCACACCACACAACCCGCCCTTTCCGAGACTAGACCTGCAACTTCCCTCCACCCTGTGCTTCCAGTCTGGGGAGCTCTGCAAGCCCCAAGCTCAATGCCTCTCCTCTGCGCAGGGTGGCTACAGGCCGCCTCCATGCCCATGAATGCCTCGCTCTGCTGTGCAGTGTCTTCAGCTCCCGGTCCTGAGTCCCCGGACAGAGAGGAGGCGGCACCTCCACTCACAGTGTTCTTCTCGGGGAAGCAAGGTCTGCTCACAGCCCTCTTACAGCACATTAGCTGCTTCGGACAGAGGCGGCCTTGGGGGCCTCCAGAAAATGGAGCACGCAAGGAAACAATCTCATGCCGTCCAGGGCCACTGATCAGAGAGCCTGAGAAGAACAACAGGTAATAGTACGTGTTGTATGGGACAATCTATTTTAATGAAACGCGTTATTTATATATTTACAAAAGGAGAGAGAGAGAAAACAACAAAAAATAGATATTACAGCTTAATAAAAAGTACAACTGACCACAGTGGGCTGGAGGTGGGATACCCACCCAGCAGCACGCCCACCCTGAGGTGTCGTCTGAGGGCCTGTAGGAAGGGCGACCGGGAGGAGGCATCAGGCTCGGCCCCAGTGGACCTCCTCAGAGGTTCCTCACAGTTCGAGACTCGGATCCTGGCACTCAACCCGTCGTGCCCTCCTTCTTCCGAGGCAGGAGGGCGGCTGAGTGCAGGGAATGGGGGTGTGGGGGAAGCAGTGGGTAGTAGCGGACAGGACACAAATAGCAGAGAAGAGGCCCTGAATAGGAGCAATCCTAAGACGGGCACCAGGGAGTCCAACAGGAGTCAGGAGATTCTCCCAGCAGACCCAGGAACAGGAAGGGGCAGCAAAGGAGGAAGTAGGAGATGGGGGGGGGGGGGCTTGCTTTTCTCTCTCCTTGTGTCTTTTGGACAGTGCCAGTCCTGTACAGGGGTCGTAGTCTGAGTCAGGCCCAGAGAAGTTCCAGTGACAGACTAGGGACTTGGGTCCCAGTGGGACAAGCCACACAGGAAGTGAACAGTGGAGGCGGCAGGAAAGCAGCAGTCGTCCTCAGTAAGACACGGCCCCCGGCTCCCGCGGAGTCAGGAAAAGGACATTGGCTTTGGCGTTGATGCAGTAGGTGGCGATGAGCGAGAAGATGAGGATGCCGAAGCCCACCATCAGCGTGATAAACTGCAGGGGAGTGGGGGTGGGGTGAGACACCGGCCGTTCTCAGAACGCAGTGCACTTTGGGATCGTGCTTTGGAGCTGGGAGCCAGGCCATCAGACTCTGGTTCTACGCACCAAGCACTTGGTGATAGTGAGTGAGCAACAGCCTCCCATCGGAGACTTTATCTCCTGGTTGGAAAAGAACGGTGTCCCTGGCCTTGCACCTGCCTTGTCTGACTTGGGTGTAGAACCCAGGGGCATTGCTCTCTCGTGGCACTCATACATCACGGGCCTATTTGTGACAGGTGCTCAAGAAATGTGAGACTGAGCCATCCTAACGTGTGCACTGGACTGTGTCCCTGTGTGAAGGGGGAAGGCACCCGGAGGGGGTCGTGGCTCCATGCTGGGCTGTGCTTGAGGCCCGAAACTGGAGACCAGCAGCAGCTCCAAGGGAGAAAGAAGGGGCTTGCCATTCCCGTAAACAGTTACCGTCTCAGAAACTGGCAGGGGCAGCTCTCCCTATCCCACGGGGTCACTGTGAGTTGACACAGGCTCGGCGGCAGTGAGTTTATTTTTTCATGCAAAGGTGATCTTACTTGGAACCTGGGTCTTGGCAGCTGTAATCAGGTTAAGATTTCTACTGGATTCAGGTGGGCCCCAATCTAATGGATGGACATTTGGACACAGACACACGGGAAGAGCGCCGGGTAATGACGGAGGCAGAAATGGGAGTTATGCTGCCATGAGCCATGGAATGGCAAGGGTTCCTGGCACCTGGGGGAAGCTGAAGAGACCAGAAAGGATGCTCCGCTAGCACTTTCGGGGAGAGCATGGCCCTGCTCGCAACCTCCCTTTTGGACTTCTCACCTCCAGAAGAGGAGGGCATCTCTGCTGGGGGAATGTGTTCTCAAAGCAGCCCCTGGCAGACGGAAGTGCCAAATGGGAGGAAGAACCAAGGCGGGGCAACCTGGGACCCAGAGGGAACGGAGTTTCTCCTCAGGTCTCACGGGGGCCTATGGCCAGAATGAACGCACAACTCCAGCTATCAGGGAAGACAAGCTTCCTGCAGGATTGATGAGCTGGCTCACTAGGGACAGATTGGCTGTTGTTTTTTGCTGCTCGGGAGGTGCAGCAATGAGATCTGAGATGAGAGGTGACGGGAAGAGGTGAACCAGGTCCTTGCCACCTTCCTTCCCCGACCTTACCTCAAGTTCTTTGCTGGCTACCAGAAATATCCGGGCCCGGATATCTTTCCAGCGGCTCTCGGTCCATGTCGAGTACTCAGTAGAGCTCCACTGCCTCAGTTCAAAGGCAGGTGACAAGGCCCTGACCAGGCGGGCCGTGGAACGCACGCAGTGGGGGAGCCGGCTCGTCCCATTGGAATTCAGAGGGCCCTGAACCCACGAGTACTCATAGAGCTGTACAGGACGACAGGCCACAGCCCACGGTGAGGTGATCCTCTTCCAACTCCCTCTCTCCGCCCTGCAGACCCAGGCTACTGCCTCTCCCACACTCAGGTTCAAAGGGCGCATCCTTCCCCTCTCCATCCCAATCCCCTGGGTCCAATGGGGTGAAGGGGATTGTCCAACTTTCCCAAGGGGAGCGGGGCCCTCAGGCCACTACCACTCACATCCTTGTTTTCATTTGGGACTTTACTTGGGTCCTGGCATTGCTCTTGGGTCAGGTCGATCACCGTGCCAGTCAAATTTGCCAAGGCATACTGTACTACATAAGTGGTGTTGGTGGGGCTCGAGACAGCGATGTAATGTTGAAGAGGCCCGCCGCCTAATGGGGAGATTTGGTGGGTAGAAAGTGGAGCGGGGGTGGGCGGAAAGAGGATGAGCACGAGGAATGGCAGGAGGCAGAAAGGTCCAGAGGAAAGGATACAAGCGACATCAAGAGAAAGGCAGAGGGCGAGAAGGCAATGGAAGGAAAAAGAACCATAAGAGCACAGGTTAAAATCAGAATGACAGTGTCTTCTTTGTCCCTCTTCTTACCTTTGGAGTCCCATTCCCACACCAAACGCTCACCCAGGTAGGGCTTCAGGTCCTGCCGGATGAGAGACTGGAACCAGGAGTTATTGGCTTTCACCAGGAACCCAAAGAGCAGGCGGTTAACCTAGGCATGGAACAGGGGAAGGGAAGCGAGGACACTGAGACATGGGGCACTGACACAGGGCACAAGCCAGACCGGCCAGAGAGACTCTGGGGTGGCAGAGCTCTCAGAGCATCAGTAAGGCCGGCTCAGGAGCTCTCAGTGACAGGGAGAGGGGTGCCAGAGTCCTGGGTTTGGAAGACTGGGCAAGGGACAGAAAGGATGGGCAGCCTGCTGCATACCCAAAGCCCGGAAGAAGCTAAGGCTCATCTGCTCTTACCGTTTTGGGATCAGCACGAATTGAGTCGACGGAAGCGATTCCTCCCGCGAGTCTATACAGTGCCCGTGCCAGCACCGTGGCCACGTCTGCCAGGGCCTACGGGAGGTGAGGGGGCGTTGAGTGGCCCGCCTGGCCTCTGCTCCCTCATATATTAACCTTCTAACCATCTTCACCGTGTGTCCCCCCATCTGCACTCCACCCCCACCCCCCCGCCCACCCCCACCCCACCAGCTGAGCCAGGGTCAGTGCTACCTGAGCAGTGTCTGTCACAAAGTCGAGATCCTCTTCAGGGCTCAGGTGGGGAGGGTAGCTCACATTGATGTTTTCTGCAGTGTCATAAATGCTCTGGTAATAGCTGCCAGGAAAAGGCGGTGTGAGTCTTTCTTGGCAACACACAGCCAAGGCCCTGTCCCTTCCCACCCACAAATCTCCCTTCTGCAGGAGCTGGGTACCTTATTTTCATCCTCTAGGGGAAAGGGGAGACAGAAACCAGGATGGCACATCAAAGGTGTAAGGAGCCCGTGGCACAGCGAAGTGCAGGGCTGCTAATCGAAAGGTTGGCAGTTTGAATCCACCAGCCTCTCCGTGGGAGAAAGATGAGGCTCTCTGTTCCCATAAAGATTTACTGTCTCAGAGGCTCTAAGGAGCAATTCTATTTGGTCCAACAGGGTCTCCATGAGTCAGAACGAACATGATGTCAGTGGGTACAGGGGGGTTGAAGGAGTGTAAAATGGGGAGGTGAGAGTAGTTCATTAAATACAAAGAGTTTCCTGACATACAAGGAGGGAGAGGTAGATGAGGCCTGAATGTGGGGATTTTTCCTTCCCAGGACACCTGTAGTCACCAGAGAGGCTTCTGTATGGTTTGGGCTGGGGACGTGGCAGGCTAGTTAAGCAGCCCTTCAGAGAGCCTGGCAAATGTCAGGGCCTCACGCCACTGAAGTACTGCCTCCTTCAGAGCTGTCCCAGTCGGCATTTACCCTGAGCAAGGCTGGGCTGGGCGCGGGGAGCGGAAGTCTGCAGGTGGTAGCACTGGGTATGGTCACAGGGGCAAATTACCATGAACCTCCTCAGGGAGCCCCGAGGGCAGAGATCTCAGAAGAGGGGTTAAAGAGGTGAGCTCCCAGTCTTCATCATCAATACATGTCCGTACCACAAAGAATCAGGGTGGCTACATACACTAGTCCAAAACACCCCTCACACCACAGCTGTACTTATCTGCCACAATGGGGGTCAGAGAAGCAGAGCTTCTGAATGCTTACTCGGAAACCCCTCCCGGAGGCTAGGGGCCCAGCGAGTCAGCCTCAGTTAAGATGTCCCTGGTACTCAAGGCTTCAAGGTAGGGAGAGTGTGGAGGTGTCCAGGGCCAGGAAAGAGGGCCTCACTTCTCTTTGGAGCCACCTCACTTGCAGGGGACACTTTTACTCTCACAATGGACCAGTGTGGCAGCAAGAACGAGCATGGCACCTGGCCCAGAGTCCGAGTACTGTCTGCAGCGTCCTCTGGGCAGGCCCTAGCCAGGGGCAGGCTCCCTGGTCCTGCAGCCAAAAGCCACCAACACCCTTGCACAGAGCTCTGGTTGGGGACAATGCCCTCTCCTGGCAGCCCTGAGGAGTGTTCCAGGGCAGAGGGCCTGCTGACGGAGAGGATGGCTGTGCGACCAAAGCAGCATTGTCTAAGACAAGCGTCAAGTCAAATGAGGGGATCAGGTCAGAGGGGAACAGGCTCCTTGCAAAGAATGCAAACTAACCCAAGGATCTGCAGTGGGTGACGTGGGGCAAGTGAGCGAGAGGAGGCGGGTGGTGGTGTTTCACACGGAAGAGACTCTGACGCTTCCAGGACGAAGCAGGGATGGGGCCTGGTGACTCACCGGTTCTGAAAGGCAGCAGAGTGGTCCGTGAGAACCACTCCAGAGATGTTCTGAGCTCGGAGGAACCGCTGCAGAGAAGACGGCGGGAGCGGCTGCGACTGTCTCGGCCTCTGGAGGACAACAGCAGGGACTCCAGCACCGACGGTCTCCAGTGTGGTCAGGAGCTGCTCCACCTGGGGAGACCAAGGAGGGGGCTGACGGGAAGCTGCTGGGGAACCAGCTTGAGGGGCCCCCCCTAAACTTCAAGCCCCCTGCTTGGGGAGCTTCCCTTGGTGGGAAGCAAAATCAATGCCTCATCGATCTAAATTTCTGAAGCTTCAAGGGACCAAGGCTTTCTCAATTTCTTGCAGTCCCTCCCTCACCATTGTGGAGAAGAAAATTAGGACCCACAGAAGGAACAAGCTGTGTTTCTTCATGTTTCCAAGCAAAGCCTGCTTTCCTTAGTATGTACGTATTCTGCCACATGCTCGTTAGCTATTCATCTATTGTGTGGAATTTCAGAGGCAAATAAGCTGGCACAGCAGCGGGTTGGAGGCTTGATGGGTAACCATGTAGTAAGCACTACTGGAGCCCAGAGCAGGGCCGAGGCTGAAGGCTGGTGTAGCAGGAAGAGGACTTCACGCGACAAGGAGGCTGGAGGCTGAGCTGGACCTGGAGGGGCGGGAGGGCCTACAGCAGTAGTGAGGCCAGTTTGAGTAGGGACACCGGCACCCCTAGGATTCGGGAGGGCAGCCTTGACAACTGAACACACGGGCAGCAGGGAAAGAAGGAAACCCATCAGGGACTTAACTAGCCCTCAATGAGCGATGCTCGTGTGCTCTGCAATGGAGGCTGCAACCATGCTGCCCCGGCTCTGGGACACCTTGAAGACAGAGCTGGAGCTCTCGTTCTGAGGTGCTGAAACGGCGTGAGGAGAAATGCTCTGGTTACCTGGTTCTTTATAGAGTCGTTTTTCTGAGACATGGGGTCTGTGTGCATCCAGAGGTCCTGTGAAGTCCTTAAGGCCACCTGGGGGAGGAGGAAGAAGCAACAGTTAACGCCAGTCTCTGGCTTGAGCGCAGGAGGGAGAAGGGAGGGGAGGAGGAGGTGACACCTGCAGTGAGGACAACAGAACAGAGGGCACTTGAAGTAGGAAGGAGACACACATGTGCGCGCACGTGCCACACACACCTGTCCCAGCTCCACGAAGGAGTGAATGTTCTCTAACTTCACAGGGAACTTGCCCTTCTCCATATCGTAGACCATTCGAGAGCTGCCAATGTAGTCAAAAGTTTCCTGAAAGGGGGGAGGGAGGGAAGGGCAGTCTTAAGAACAGCCAGGCCATCGACACTCTAGACAAGAAGCCTACTGTCTCCGTGATCATCCAGACCGAGGGCCGGCTTGCACAATCCCGTGACTTTGCCCTCCTCCACCCCACCCCAGCTGTGACAATCCCTCACGAGGATGTGCACATCACAGCACCCGCGCACAGATCCGGGGGAGCAGCCTGGGTGAAGGCCTCCCGCCAACATCAGCTGCTGCGAGGCTGCTTCCTGTGGATCGAGACCCCTGTGGGGGTCAAACGACCCTTTCACAGGATCGCCCAACTCATAACAGTAGCAAAATGACACTGATGAAGTAGCAACGAAAATAATGTTATGGTCGGGGGGGTCACTACCACATGAGGAACTGTATGAAAGGATCGCAGCATTAGGAAGGTTGAGAACCACTGCTCTAGGCCCAGGCTGGGCTGCCAGTGGAAGAGGGGGAGCCCAGAGCATGTGAAAGGACTCCCCCCAGGTGGATTTTATAAGTGAGGCCGCAGGGAAGGGAGAGTAAACTGATTCAACATCGGGGCATGAAGGCTTCCTAAAAGCAGGGAATCTGAAGAGGGCACAGATAGGAACGGGTACCCACGGGGCTCTCTGCTGACGGACAGTGCAGGCCCGGGGTTGTGACTCCATTCCTAAACAGCCCATACACACGGCGCTTCAAAAAGCACCAGTTACCCCTACCTTCAGCACCTCCCCCCACTCCCCGACCTTACCCCACTCTAGAAAACTTACGCCTTGGAAAAAGACAAACATGACATTATGGGGCAGGGTGGCCACAGAGGGTATCTTCTGCAGAGCTTCAGCTGCAGCTAGCTGGGTGACGAAGGAGGCCACAGCGCTTTCGGCCCCCGGGGCCACATTCCAGAAGAAGGAACGGCTGTCGAGCTGGCGCCGCAGTGGGGAAGGCAAGGGAGGCACATGTTACTGTCGGATTGGAGAGTCAGGCCCTGAGCCTCCTGTGTTCCAGTCAAGGCCATGTGCGGGGCCAGGGCAATGCTGGAAGTGGAGCCTGCTGCAGTCTGGCTCCCTCTCCAACTGAGTTGACCTGGGGTGATCACTCAGAAATCGGATCTGCCCCAGAGAGGCCCCGCCAGCCCTGCCCGTGCCAGCCCTGTTCCAGCGCCAACACTCACCCGGGTGGCAGCAACCACAACCTTGTCGTCAGGCTCCAATGTCCCAGATGTATTTATAGGCTTAAGCATGCTCCAGACATTGTAGTCAGATAGAGGGTCACAGACGATTTCTGAGCAGGAAGAGAAACAGCGTAGTAGCAGTGAGGGGGTGGGGCGTATGGAGGAGGCCTGGGAGGCTTCTTGGGTTAGTGCCCTGGGGTCTGTGGGTGTCAATTTCTCCATCACCCAGTGATTGGGGGTGGGGGGGTGTTCTTGGCCGTGGACCACTTTGGGAACAAGCCGCTCACCCTGGTCACAGCTGTTTCCATTTCTCCTATCCCTGGTCTGGCCCACATTCCCCAGCCTGGCGCCCTGCCCACTGCCCAGCAGGCCCCGCCCCCTCTGACCTGGGTTGATGCTGAAGGTGCTCTGGATGGAGCTGCGCCGCATGCAAGTGACCGTGCTGGTGACGGCGTGCATGTGCGAGAAAAGTTGCATGGCGCACAGTGGGAAGGCCGGCGCTGAGCCATTCCGACCCAGGTTGTGATCTCGATAGCACTGCAAGAGGAGGGGCGCCGCGCAAGAGTCAGCTGGCTGAGGGGTCAGGGCCACAGTGCCCAGAAACAGGAGGGCCAGCTCCTTCCTTAGGCCACTCCCACACCTGTCCCTGAGCTGTGGCTGTCCTGGCACAACCACAGGATCTAGGGGGTCAGAGAGGTGCCACGGGGAACTGACACAATGGCTGGGCTGAGGCAGGTGCAATGACCCTACCCAACGGCCCCAAGCTGGCTCTGCAGTCACTGTTCCCGATGCAATCACATGTAGAGAGAGCCAAACCGTAGGTCGAAAGACCAACTCACCCGAATTGCTGTGTCCCAAATCAAAGCAGCTAGGCTAGAATGGCCGAACATTAAAGCTAAGACAACTCCAGAAACTACCACAGGCACCCCCTCAACTCCTAGTCCAATGGGGCTTTCGTCATACGGGTGGTTTGTAACCAGGGCTGCATGTACCTTTTTTTCATACTCAATACCCTTTGCCCTTTCTTCTAGTCGGAAGGCCTTTAAAGCTGTGCTAGCTGGTGGAGGGAGAAGTGAGAGGGGATGGGAGACAAGCAGGCTTCTTGGCTCTCTCCTGGAAGAACTGTCTTCTAGGGGCTGCACGGTGAAGATGAGCCACCCCCAAACCAGAGATGTGCCTAAAACCAAGCTCCACACCCATCCCCGCCCCATCATCCCTCTTACAGGAATTGCTAGGGGCTGGCAGAACCACTACCTGTTTGATGACATTGGTTTCATTTTCATCTTCAAGAAGAAAGATGGGGAAACTAAAGTCTTCATACGCCAAGCCATTCCCCAGTGGATTCCACTGTACAACTTTACAGTGAGCAAACTCTGAGCTGGAGTAAACTCCTGAAGGGGAGAAGGGAGGATGGTTTGTTGGGGACAAGGTAAGGGCACAAAATTAAGACTACGACAGGGTTGGGACATAAATGTTCAAAAACGAGGAAGTGGCTCAAAGGAGTACGCACCAGCCTGCCACATTCACAGTGCAAGGGGCAAGGGCTGGCAACAGGGAGTCCTAAGCTGGAAGCTTACAGAAATGAGCCCGTGACCAGAAAAAAGGCTAGAAGTGTGTGAAGCAGCGAGGCAGGAAACGACAGGAATGAGTGACAGCAGAACACTATCTTCTGTTTCAGTGGTACACACTCACTCAAATTCACACCAAGAACAGACACACCATGTCAGAGACATTAACAAAAACCCCAAGTTTCTAGCCCCATGCAATAAGTAGCCATGGGTGCTAGCTGACTCCCTGCTCCCGTGGGGCTCTTACCAAACCCATCATTGGGGCACTGCCCACTAGGAGAGAAGCCCTCAGGGGGACTGGGCTTGGCCACGGACACTGCAAGACCAGCAATTCGCTTGGTTCTCCCTTTCAGCTTCTCCATCAGAGGCCTGGAATGGGGAGGGAGTGCCATGAAGGTGTCACACAGCCACACAACCTGTAACGCCCCCCGCCTGCCCCATGGAGACAAATGGGGAATTAGGGAGATCAAAACTGCCAACCCATCCCTTGCTTGGTCATCCCAGCTCTAGTTTCTGAGGCAGGACTATGAACCTAAACTATGCATTTAGGGATTAGTCTCTCTGACCTGTGTGTGAAAGATTTGGGCACCCTCCCCTGCCCTCCCTGGGGTCCCTGCTCCTTAGAGTTCTACTTCCAGGGTCACTGAAATGCCTCCTTTGGAACACAAACCTTTCCTTCTGAGGACCACTCCCACTCCCTGCTCTGCTCAGGCCAGGGCTGCCAAGGGAAGTTTATACCCACAGGAGTAGGGCATGTTCACGGAATCTTTTCCTAGTAGGCATCCTAGTTCTTACCTGGTAAAGAGCTTGCCTTCCAGTAGAACCATGTAAGGTGGGTTGGGGCCATCAGTCAATACCCACTGCAGGTCCTCTTCTTTCTCCACTACATGGATAACCCCTGTGTCCCCACTAATGGAGGCTGCCATGACAGAATGGGCCAAGTTACAACTCCTACAGTTGATAAATCTGAGTGCCTCACTGACTGGCCAGATTTTATTCCCCAAAGATGAGACTTTATTCCCCAAAGATGTCACAGCACATTTGGGTTAACTTAGCCACCACCTGGACTTGAGCTGGGCAGCTGAATTGGCCCAGCTCCATTTGAAGGCTGCCAGAGGGAATGGAGGACCAGAGTCCAAGAGGACTACTCACTGGGGTAGCCTTTCTCTAACTGTCAGAGAGGCACAGTCATTTGCACTTGCTTGCCCTCTTGTTTCAACCTCACTTAGCCTTATAGGCAAGATTCTAGAAGGGTACACACCAAAGTTTCCAAACCTGTATTTTCTCCAGGCAATGGCAGGCTCTAGGTCTCTAGCTTGGAGCTCTAGCTTTGAATCTTCCTTTGTGAAAACATGTGTGTAGATTCGCTTGGCCTCAGGAGCCTTCCCGGATCTTCACTCCTTTTGCCCTATTTTGGGAATGACTTTACTTGCTTTGGGGCAGTTTTAGGTGAGGTTAGTCAAGAACTCTGAGGTCTCTATAACAGAGCTTCCCAATTTCGAGACTTGGGCAGTTGAGACTGGCTGATACGGATTCCCCTTAGGAAACCTGGGGCTTGCAGTTTCCAAAGCACGTAGGCTGGCCGGTCCAGCCAGGAGCAGACATATCTATTTACTCCCTGAAAAGACCACGTGCCTCTATGTGTACCACTGTGCCATCCAAATATTTTCTATGTGTCTCAGGGCATACAAGTTATGGGGAAGGAGTGCTCTAGAGGACAAATGATCTGAAGTCCAGAATGAGCTCTAGGTAGGGATACTCCTATGCAGACACATAAACAGATGTAAAAATCATGTTAGAGCAGTAGTTCTCAACCCTGGTTGTGTACGAGAATCACTTTGGAGTTTAAAAAAATACAGATGCTTGGGCCTTACTTCTGATTTACTGGAGCCCAGGCATACGTATTTTTAAAACATACCGCGCATGGGTCTTCACTAACCACAGCCAGCCAGGAGAACTATGGTTCTAGACCAATAGTTCTCAACCTTCCTAATGCCGCCACCCTTTTAATACAGTTCCTCATGTGGTGGTGGCCCCCCGGCCATAAAACTATTTTTGTTGCTACTTCCTAACTGTGATTTTGCTACTGTTATGAATCAGGCAACCCCTGTGAAAGGGTTGTTCAACCCCCAAAGGGGTCCCAACCCACAGGTTGAGAACCGCTGTTCTAGACTAAAGCTCTGAAGTGCTTGTATTTGGCATAAGACACAAACCACAAACACTTTCACATTGCCAGACAAGCAACACTTTTCTCCCACTGGACCTGGTAAAACATAGACACAGAGGAAAAGTCACCAACAATCGACTATGCCTTCTATCTAGCAAGTACTTAGTAAACCCATGTTGATGATGAGGTAGCATGGAGGAATATCAGAGTCTGGGTAAACTTTAGTTAGGACCCAGATACCAATGACGGTTCTGAGCACACCAAAAGACAACAGTCATTGCCATAGTATTTAAAGCATGAGGAAAGGAAAAGTCAATCTTGCAAATAAAAAATACACAACGTCAATTCCGCAAACTGTGACACTGGCTGGGAGGAAAAAACTGAACAAAAAACAACGAATCTAGTTTCTAACTGGGGACTATGCGATCTTAAGCAGCTTGTTCACTTCTCTGGGGAGAGGCTTTCTACTCCCAGTCATCGCATACTGTGGGGACAGAGCTTAAAAAGAAAAAATGAAACTCAGATACAGCCCGGCGAGCATCTCAAAAAGAGTCTAACGGAAACATACACGGGGGCTTCACCAATTCTGTCACCAATTTTACTTTTCTGCAAATTTTTTGAAGCCCCTTCCTGTTAAAATCAGAAAACTAAATAGTTTTTTCTTTAATTTTATCAAGCTACCAACTTTAATTAAAGAGGGTGTAGCCTACTCAGGATGGACAGATTTGATAAAGTTAAGACTTAGAAATAAGTAGGTTGAAACAGGAAGCCAGACCTTAATGAGGAAGAGGCCAGAGTCCAGGCCCTTCCCTCTGGCTGCTTGCGCTATAATAAAATGCAGCTTGATCTCCAAGCGGCTGCTAGAGTCCCACAGTTACTCAACAAACAGGCTAAGAAATTCACGTTTCCAACTTAGGCCCCCACCACCGAGAAATCTGCACGTTAGAAAATAAATGCCTACAGTCACACGTATGTGCTTTACTTATTACAAAGGGGATTTCTGAAAACCCCGCTCCAGGAAGGCAGCCATAATCCTGGCCTGTCACACTTACAATGAGGCCAGCACTATGATTGATCTCAGTGCACACTGGACCTGGTCCTTTCCACCCATAAACACAGTTTAGCAATCAAAACCGCACAGCCATCGAGTCGATTCTGACTCACAGTGAGCCCATATATAGTTTTCAAGGCTGTAAATCTTTATGGGAAAGTAGGTAGCCTCATCTTTCTCCCTCAGACAGGCTGGTGGTTTCAAACTGCTAACTTTGCAGTTAGTAGCCCAGCACGTAACCCACTAAAGATAGCAAGTTAAATAGCAGACAGATTAGAGTTCAGCCTTCATATCACAACTTTTTTTCCCTCTGATTCTATAATGTTTTGAAGTACGTTATCATGCTTTTGTAACACATTCAAATGTTTCCCTAATTCTTCCTGACAATTATTTGGCATTCTCAATGTCTTCTTCTCAAATAGCTCACTATCTATAAGTAGTCCATTTGTGTTCAAAAAGATCAGTCTGAGAGCAGATGATGACCAGACTCCATAGGATTCAAGACTTCACTGGAATTAGAAGGCACACTAGTAAGATGACTAAGTTTTGGCTGAGCACTCACTTCATCACTTATTATCAGCCTGACCTTAGGAGCGATGATCTCAGGATCAGCTTCTCTACCCCTCCCGTTCATCATTTTAAAAGGGACTAATACTAAGGCTGTTGTGAGGATTGAGAAGGTACATGGCAAAAGCTAGAAATGTAGCACATATTAACTGTTACGTTGATGACTTTGCTTGGTTTGACAGATGGCTCCCTATCACCTCCTGCCCACAGACTCTAATTTGAGTGTCGACTCTCCCAAGCAAAACATGGACCTTACTTTATATCTAGGACACGGACTACAATATCACTAGCCACCAACACAAATGCCAAACCCCCAACTTACACTGACAGCCAATCTGATGCGTAGCATTGAGCAGCCGGACACAGGGAGCTGTTCTATTTAAGGAGACGTAGATCTTCCTCTCCACTGAATTTCCCCTGCACACACCTGAGAAGATAAACGGTGTTAAAGACTTTAGTGTTGGCCTCTACCATGGCATCAGCCTAGTGAATGAGTTGGGTGAAGCTATTCAATACCAGACTTTCTACAATAAGAAAGTCCACTCCTCTCACTTCTCAAGCACATTACTGGAACAAATACATGCTCTGAAGAGCTCTCAGAGGGTTATTTCAAATTCTGATATAGAGAAACTGATCCTGAAGCTGAAAGAGAGAAATCTTGGTTTGTCAAAGGAAAGGCACATTCGACCTCAGCCGTGTCAGCCTTTGGCTGCACTGTTGACTGCACAGCTACTTTTCGGTCCTGTAGGTCTATGACTAATCAGTTAATAAAAGGGAGCAGATGACAAAAAAACAAAAAACTTCCGAGACACTTCCCTAAAAATCTGAACAGTCTGTTACTCTTGTCAGTTCCTTTCAAGCTGGCTCTGACTGGTGGCCACCATATATGCAGCAGAACATAACATTGCCTGGTCCATGCCGTCACTGTTGTCTTTGATATTGCAACCCACTGCGGAGACTGTTGCATTAACCCATCTCCTTGAGAGTTCTCCTCAATTTTTCCTGACCCTTCCTTTGCCAAAATGATGCTCCTTTCTGGCAAACGGCCTTATCCAAAATAAACAGAACGAAGTCTTGCCATTCTCATTTCTAAGGCATTTTCTGGTTGTATTTATTCTAAGGCAGATTTGTTTGTTCTTCTGGCAGCCCGTGGTATGGTCAATCTGTACGGAATTGGGAGAAGCCTTATACCACACACCTGTCGGAGTAAGCCAGCTCTTTGTCAACTACACCCAAAGCACCCACAGGTCATTTCTTTGTGCCCACAGTGTGGGACAGCTATAGTTTTTCCTTTGGGATCGTTCAACATAATGTGAATTTCGAGGAAGACAGTGTCTTGGTTACATAGTAATACTTGTGTTTTAAGGTCCCTACAACTAAAAAAAACATATGTAAAAAATAAACACAAGTAAGCAAGCATGCATGTGTACAAATGCCTAGAGTTCCATGGATCATTACTTAATGATATTAAGTAATACCTTTTTCAGCAGCCTTGCTCTACAGAGAGAAAGAAACTGAGGCAAGGCAAGGGGGAACAGGCGTTGTCGGCAAAACCAAGAGGCAAGAGAGGAAGAAATGAAGAGTCTCCCTTCTGAAGAGCCGCACTGACCCCACAAAACGAGGCTGGTTTCATCATAAAAAGTCAAACCGCCCTGGGAAGGGCGCTCTCCACTGACACCTGCCTCTCTTGATTGTGGGTGGGTGGCAGAAAACAAGACATCTTAACAAGTGGGAAAGAGGCGGGCAAGAAGTCCAGCAAGAGGGTTAGACGAAGGAATGGAGCGGCACAACGTGTCGCAGAGGATCAGGAGCCCTTCCGCTTCAGGAAAAGGGGGAACTTCTGTCGCGGGAACGAAAGAGAAAGAGAATTTACAGGGTGTGGGGACAGAGGGGTCTGGGGACCAGAAGAGAAACGGCGGCTCTCGCTGCTGGGCCGATCCGGAGAGTTTTTACAGAGCGAGCTCAGGGGAGGGGAGGCCTCACCTGCCAAGAAGACGCAGAAAGACAGAAGGCGAAGAAGACCCTGACTTCCCGGGACGGCTTCCCAGGCGCCCCTTGCCGTAGCCATCTTGCCTTTCCGCTGTGCGGAAGCCTCGGTCCCCCGTCAGACGGGTAGCGGCCCCTCTAGGCCACCACTGGCGTCGTCTCGGTGGCCCGGAGCGCACGAAACCGGAAGTTCCTGTGTTTCGGCACTTCCGGTAGCCACCGAGGGGGAGCGCTGACGTGGAAGCGACCAGAGGGCAGCAGGGAGTGGCCGGACGCCGAGTAGGACCTCGGAGCCGGCGGTCGGGAAGATGCTAACCAAATTCGAGACCAAGAGCGCGCGGGTCAAAGGTAGCGAAGAAAAGGGGGAGCTCGGAGGCTGGAGCTCGGGGGCGGCGCTGCCACGGGGCCACAGGCCGGGTGTAGACCCGCCGGCCGAAAGTGGCGCCGCGGCGGACCCTGAGGAGGCTGGGAGGGAAGGAAGTGAGGCCTGGTGGGCAGTTTTCCAGCCTTCTCTGCTTTAGTGGGTCCCCGGGCCTTGACTTACCTACGGAGTGGCCCTTACCCCGCCATCTCTGAAGTCGGCGCCCCGCGCTGTGTTCCCGGGGACTGTGCGCGGGACTCTTTGCCCCGAAGGTCCTGTGAACTGTCTTTTTGCTGATCGGGTTGTGGGCATTGAACCTCGAACTCTGTCACTCGCACGAGTCAATAGCTTTTTTTTGGAGACCAGCAGGGGTGACCTCATTTAAGAAGCTTTGACTGCATGTGAGCATCCAGTGTTTCAGGGTCTATGAGGGTTCAGAAAGGTCATGGATAATGGAATTACCGCCCCGGGCCCCACCCCCCACCCCCGCCAACTTTCTGAAGCCCCTTCCTATTAGTGGAAAACAGGAGGTTTTCTTTGAGGTCTGAAGACCCCCGTATGAGTTTGAGAGGGTTGTCAAATAAAATACAGATTCAATAACATTTGAATTCAAATTAATAACGAATCATTTTTGTATTGTTAATTGTTTATCAGAAATTCAACTGTGGCTGGCTATTTTTATTTGTTGGATATGGCAACCCTAGAGCTTGCATATGTAGAAGAGGTTGGAGGCAAATGGCTGAACTGTTAGACTGTTAACATGGCAAAGGCAGGGGAGTAGAATCTACTGTGATACAGAAGAAAATCAAACTTAATGAGGTGCAATAGCAAAGAGGGCTCAGAACTTGTATTTTGAGGCCAGGTGAGTTTGCTTTAGAATCCTGAAATGGCCATTAATAAGTTGAATGACCTTGGGTGACTTAAATCTCACAATCTCCTTATCTGTAAAACGTGAGCAATGCATTTTCCTATATAGAGAAAATTAAGGCTCTGGTGGTGCAGTGGTTGGACACTCAGATGCTAACCCAAAGGTTTGAATTCACCAGCCTTTCCACTAGAGAAAGGGGTATGTGGCAGTTGCTTCTGTAACGGTTACAGTGTTAGAAACCCTGTGGGGTAGTTCTCTCTGTCTTATAGGTAGAGTCGGTGTGAATCAGAATCACCTCTATATCTATAGCAACGAGGTTAACAGATGCGTCAAAATTGAAAGCGTAAGACAACAGCATAAATAAAGGAAGAAAGTGAACGACCCAATGGCAAAATAGACTAGAAGAAATGTAGTTATTCAGTAAGCAAATGAAGGTGTGTTCCACCCCATGAACAATGAAAGAAATGCAACAGATACTATTTGCTTTTTGTCTTATATTAGGGAAACAACACAACACATAACTGATAGCATCTTAGTGTGTCCCGTGTGGCAAAATAAGTACTGCCAGAAACTCAAGAGTTTATAATATTGATACAGCCTTTTGGGCAGATAAACAGTGTTTCATTATATGAGGTCTCCCTGAGTTGGATTAGAATCAAAGCAATTAATAACCATCATCAAAAATTTAAATGTATGTACTTTATTCCTTAGCACTCAATTCCAGTTCCAGGTATTTAGCTTAAAAACGTAATGATGTAGATAGGCTACATTATGTATCAAAGTGTTTTTTTGTTCTTGTTAGTTGCCATGTAGTTTTGATTCATGGTTTTGATTCATGGTTCATAGCTTTACTTAAAATCGTTACTGTGGAGTTAATTCTGACTTGTAGCTGGTAATGAACTGCTCCCATAAGATTTCCAAAGCTGTAATCTTTATGGAAACCGACTCCCCAAACGTTCTCCCTCAGAAGGCTGGTGGGTTCAAACCACTGATCTGTTGGGGTTGGCACCTTCATGCTTAACCAATGTGCTGCCAAGCCTCCTATATCTTTATTCAGAAAACCCAATCCCACTGCCATCAAGCTGATTCCAAATCATCATAACCCACATAGGGTTACCAAGACTAAGACTTTTCAGGAGCAGATCGCCTCAGCTTTAACCCAGTGCCCAACCCACAGCCCCATAGTGCCGCAGACAGCCTTTCCTCTTTCCCGCGGAGGAGCTGTGCCGCCAGGCTCCTTGATGGCTTCATTTTTTGTAGCCAGGTGCTGTTGAAACAGTTCCTTCTCAGGGACACTACCTACAGCTGAACAAAACTGCCTGGTCCTACGCCTTCCCGACAATTATTGTTACCTACGTACTCAAGTATTAGCCGACCCGAATATCAGCCGAGGCACCTAATTTTACCACAAAAATTGCATTTAAAATGTGCTGAAAGACTCGGTTTGTACACAAGTATATACGGTATCTTTGAGCACAGTGTTATAGCCACCTCTGTTTGTTGAAGGTCTTCCTCTTTATCAGTGACCATTTACCAAACATGATGTCCTTTTCTGGAGACTGGTCCCTCCAAAGTATGAAACCTTACCATTTTTACTTCTAAAGAACATTCTAGCTGTATTTCTTCCAACAACCTTTTTTTTTCTTCCCAGCAATCCGTGATGTAGTTAATATTGTTAGCCAACACCATAATTCAGATTCCTTTTTGACCTTTCTTATTCATTGTCCAGCTTTCATATGTATGTGAGGCTATTAAAGGCGCCCCTTAAGCTCAAAGTGACATCTTTGCTCTTTTATACTTTAAGCCATTTACTATCTCGTTCAGTTCAAAAAAGATTGCTTCGTGGTCTATGCATACATTCTGCTTGTGCACAGTGAAATTCTCCTTCATCCCAGTGTGTTATCCACAATTGATTATAATCTGCACAATTGAATGCTTTTGTATCGTCAGTAAAACACAAGTAAACATTTTTTGATGTCCCCTGCTTTTAGTCAAGATCCATCAGACGTGAGCAATGATATTTCTCATTCCACACCCTCTTCTGAATCTGGCATGAATTTCTGGCAGCTCCCTATTGATGTGCTGTTGAAACCATTTTGCATCTTCACTAAGCCCACCTTGTTGTTGTTTTGATAACCAAAAATTGGAGGAGAAAGCACCCATCAATAGATTAATTTTTAAATATGGTGCATT